TTTTTTTTAAATAAAATCTTAATTTACTACACTAATTTTTTTCATCAAACAAATTTTCAAAACTAATGAACTCTCTATCTAATTCGTGTTCCTCTTATTATAATAAATAATAGTAATTATAATTAATTGAGTACATCATCATTTGAATCATGATAGAAAATTGATAGTGACCTTTGGGGACATGAAAATCAGCCATCCTTTGCCTCTTTATTAAATTTAATTTATGTATTCATTTGATATAAATCTCATTAATTATATTACAGTTTAAAGTTATCTCATAAAACAATCATGTTGATAATGTATAAGCTGCCAATTACAAATAGCTTTCTTTTCGAAAAGCATCTTCATCAAATTCAACTTAATTATGCAACTATTAAATTTCTTCAATCAAATAAATCTTTTCTCCCTATATATCATTTTCATAAGCACCTGCTTACAAATATTAATACTTTTGTTGAAGAATCAAACTTCTCAAATTTAAATGTCAAGTGACTATCTTTGTATTGCATTCCACTCATAACTGAATATTTCAATATTTAAGTATTGAATAAAGAAATTCTAATGGGTGATAAAATTAATATCTTATTACTTATTTTTTAAGAATCATTTTTTTTGCACTTTTAAATGAGAATCTAATAAAATTTCTAATTGAATTTTATTTTATTTTAAGTATTTAAGCATTCTATTTATACTTGATTTCTAATGAGTTATCATCCCTAATTGAAATATATTAACAATAATTCATATGTTTTTAGGGATTGATTAAATTAATGACTTTGGATATTTATTCTTAATTCTAGCCAACGCGATTCGTGTATTTTTTATAAATGCTTCAGATCCTAAGTTGAATATCTCTTTTGTGATTTATAAATTTTTGGCTAATATTTTAAAAAATATTTGTCCGAATATCCTATTGTTAAATTCAAAGAACTAAAGATTAAGTTGAAAACAATATATATTCAGTTGTGGTAAAATCCTAGAATTCTTTTGTAGTAAGTCTTTGTAATTTATAAGCGATAAATATATTTATCATACCAATAAATTTGGCTCTTTCCTACAAAATCCAGCAATCTT